AAAGCACACAGAATATGTGGAGGATAATATAATTAACACTCAGGAAACCACCATCCTATTTTAATAAACCTTAAAATGCTGACATATTTGGCTCAGATATTTTAAGAAATAAAACTTTGAAGATACTGTATAACTCTGTCCGTCCTTGCTTTTTCTTTTTTGAGGCCCTCAGTCATTTTAAATTCCAAATACTTACTTTTTATTTAAGTTAAAGGACTTGAGACTCATGCCTTCTGGTGATTCAGCAGGAAAAAAAGGAATTCTATTCATTCAGTCATCAAACAAATATTTATTGTGTCATCTATTTGCCAAGCACTGTACTACATATGTATTGATATAGTATATCCTTCTCTTTTTTTTGGTAGCATTTTATTCAGTACACCATTTTGTGGGGTGCCTGGGTGGCTCAGTTGGTTAAGCGACTGCCTTTGGCTCAGGTCATGATCCTGGAGTCCCAGGATCAAGTCCCGCATCGGGCTTCCTGCTTGGCAGGGAGCCTGCTTCTCCCTCTGACCCTCCCCCCTCTCATGCTCTCTCTCTATCTCATTCTCTCTCAAATAAATAAATAAAATCTTAAAAAAAAAATACACCATTTTGTTACAGGCTATATATCCAAAGTGAGAAGCAAAGAACATTTCCTTTATAATCAGGGCTCTCTTCCAAAAAAATTTCTTTAATACCTGAAGGCTTTGATGGTGAATCTTGTTCTCTTAGTCTGTAAATTTTCATTCCAAGTTTCTTAACATTTTCCTTCTATGGGTTTGGCTCTTGTGTCACTTGGGTGGGTAGGATGTTTCGGTATGTTTATTTAGTTGCTAGTTGACCACACCTTTGGTTTTCTTTCATATGATTAAATTGTTATTGCTTGTAACTTCCATCTGGTTTCTCTCCTTTAAAATGATGACTTCAGAGTGCAGTCCTCTCGCCAGTCTTTGTTTTCTGTGCTTTTATGGTGATTTATATATGTATATTTATACATAAATATTTAAATAACAGACTTATTGACATACAATTTACATACCATAAAATTCATCCCTTAGTACATTCACAGGGTTGGGCAACCTTTGCCACTATCTGATTTTACAGCATGATCATGACCTCAAAAAGAAATCCTGCACCTATTAGCTGCAACTTCCCAATCTCCTCTGCCCCCAGCAACCCCTGATCTACTTTCTGTCTCAATGCCTTAACCTACACTGGACATTTTATATAAACAGAATCATACATCATAGCAGTTTTTTGTCTCTGGTTTCTTTAACTTAGCGTAATGTTTTCAAGGTTCATCTATGTTGTAGCATGTAGCAGCATTTCATTCCTTATCATGGCTAAATAATATTGTGTTAAATGGATATTCCACACTTTATGCACCAATTGACAGACACTTGTATTCACTTTTGCGCTGTTATGAATAATGCCACTGTGAGAATTCATGTGCAAATTTTTCTGTGGACGTGTTTTCATTTCTTTGGGATATATACCTACAAGTAGAACTGCTGCATTAAGTGGTAATCCTATTTTTAACTTTTTGAAGAACTGCCACACTGTTTTGCATATTCCCATCAGCTACGTATGAGGGTTTTAATTTCTCCACAACCTTATCAACACATATTATTGCCTATATTTTTATCTTAGCCATTCTGGGAGGTGTGAAGTGATGCTTCATTAAGTTTTGACTTACATTTCCCTAATGACTAGCAATGTTGAACATCTTTCATATTCTTATCGGCAAATGTAGAATGGAGTGTGGAGAAGAAAGGCTAGGACAGCTAATGCAGGCCCTAAAACCCAGTGCAGTGATGGAGCTTACCCTGAGCTGCTCCCTGGATGTATATGGAGCAGTGGATTTACATGGTGCAAGAACTGAACAATGGCAGAGAGAGCTGCCACGCCCTTCAAGAAAGTTCTTGCTGCCCAGTTTAGAAGAAGTGGTATATCTTGTAAATCTTCTTTCCATTTATTTATTTAACTAGGCTCCATGCCCAGTGCAGGGCTTGAACTCACAACCCTGAGATCAAGACCTCAGCTGAGATCAAGAGTTGGCCACTCCACTCAACTGACTGAGCCAACCAAGCACCCTGAGAATGTCCATTTTAAAGTTGGGCTAATTTAAAAAAAAATTGTTGAGTTGTAAGTTCTTTATATATTCTGAACACAAGTCCCTTCTCATATATATGATTTTCAAACATTTTCTCACATTCGGAGGGTTGTCTTCTTAGTTTCTTGATGATGTCCTTTGAAGCACAGAAGTTTTTAATTTTGGAGAGATCCAATTTACTTTCAGTTTTGTCACTTATACATTTTGGTGTCACCATAAGAAATGATTGCCTAAGCCAAGGTCACAGAGATTCAATCCTGTGTTTTCTTTGAGGAGCTTCATAGTTCTAGGTCTTACATTTATTATTTTTTTAAAGATTTTATTTATTCATTTCACAGAGAGAGACACAGCGAGAGAGGGAACACAAGCAGGGGGAGTGGGAGAGGGAGAAGCAGGCTTCCCGAAGAGCAGGGAGCCCGATGTGGGGCTTGATCCCAGGACCCTGGGATCATGACCTGAGCCGAAGGCAGACATTTAATGACTGAGCCACCCAGGTGCCCTAGGTCTTACATTTAGATCTATGATCCCATTGAAGTTAATTTTTGATACGGTATGAAGTAGGGGTTCAAATTAATTCTTTTGCACATGAATATCCAGTTGTAAAGATAATTCCTTCTCCATTGAATTATCTTGGCACTCTTTTTTTTTTTTTTTTTAAAGATTTTATTTTATTTATTCATGAGAGACAGAGAGAGAGAGGCAGAGGGAGAAGCAGGCTCCCAAGGAGCAGGGAGCCCGATGCGGGACTCGATCCCAGGACCCTGGGATCATGACCTGAGCCGAAGGCAGACGCTTAACCATCTGAGCCACCCAGGCGCCCTTGGCACTCTTTTCTAAGGTCCTATCTCTATTATAAAATTTACCAAAGTTTGCCTTGTTTTGTGGTAAACTGGATAAATCTTTCTCTGTCATTGGAGAATAGGGAATATGTTTTGTTCATTTAAAATGAGAAAATCAGGGCACCTGGCTGGCTTAGTTAGCGGAGCATGCGACTCTTGATCTCAGGGTCATGAGTTCAAGCCCCGTGATGGGTATGGAGCCTACCAAAAAAAAAAAAAAGGTTAAGATAGTAAATTTTATGTTATAAAAATTTAAAAAAAAATAAAATGGGAAAACCTATATGAAAAACACCTACCACAGGGCCTGAAAGTAAATATTTCTTTCCATCTTTTGAGTCTCCCCACAGCACTTAGTGTGGTATTTGGCACACAATAGTTACTATAAATGTTTGCTGAATGTAAAGTGGGCTTGAGCATGCACTCCAAAAGAAGGAGGTGGTTTCTGAAAACTGATTGGATGGGAGATCCAGAACATGTTCAGGCCTTTTCAAACTAAGAATCTGAATAACAGCAGAGACTGACTCCAACAGCTTAGTGAAGTTGTGTTGTTGTCAGAGTAGGAGCCTTCAAGTGATTCCTCATCCTTGAAGGTAAGTGACAAACAGGCTTTCACTTAAAGTGAACCCAAGCACTTAGAACAACCCAACAGGTCCAGAACATTTTCCCCCTTAGTTTAATTTCAAATTCTCCAGATGTCTACTTATTTAACTGTTTATGCAATAATAAAATTTTACCTTGTGGCCTTGACCTCAATTCCACAAAATCGATTGTGGTTCTTATCTGCCTAAAAGCAGAAAGATTTTCTGAGGCAGTAACAACCACTATTGAAAAGGCAGAGAAACAGCACTCAGGTATGGCAGGCAATTCTATTTTCAGTGACTCTTTTTTCCCTTTCTTTTTCTCTCTTACAATGTCTCAGAAATAGAGCACGAAGCTGGAGATAAAGGCCTGTTCATTCCACCAGGGAGTTTCCTACAGGTTCGTGTCCAGGCAAGGTTCCTGCCTGTCGCTTGGGTACTTTTCTGAGATTCCAGGATCTGCCCCTCTCTGTGAGAACGTGTGTATGTTCAAGTCCTGAACCTAAGCTGTGTTACTATACAGACACACATAATAACTTTCTTACACCTTTGAAAAACGTTCACAGGCGGAGATCTCATAGCTAAGTTCTTCAAATTACAGCTTCTCACTCCAGCACCAAATCACTTCTCTACAATTAATCAGGTAGGAGGCTCTTAAATACATTTTCTTCTAGGGCTGTGGCCACTTCCTAACCCTAAGGTAAGTAGAATCCAGCGAGGCTGGAATATAAACAATTTTTTAAAATTAGACTTTATATTTTAGGTTCACAGCAAAATTGAGCTGAAGACTGAGATTTCACAAATAACCCCCTTGCACATTATCAACATCCGGGAGGGGGTGATCCATTTGTTACAATTGAAGAACCTATTCTGACATCATCATCACCCAAAGCCCACAGTTTATATTGGGGTTCACTGGATGTTGTATATGCTATGAGTTTGGACAAATGTATAGTGACATGTATTCACCGTTATACTATTCAGAATCATTTCACTGCCCCCAAAATCCTGTGTTCTGGCAAGACTCCATATATTTATTTTTATTTATTTATTTATTTTTTGAGACTCCATTTAAAAGGGTGATACGAGAGGAAAAGAAAAAAAGCGTGCAGCCCAGAGGCTTGACCAAACTCCAAGTTTGTTCCCAAGTTCAGGGCCCCCAGCCGACCGGTCTCTCTAAGTCCAGCCAAGGGAAGGTTGCTCCTCCCCCTCCTTTAATTGTCAAGCAAATGGCTTTCCTGTTGACACCGGAATATTGGGAAAGGGCAGGAAGAGGCCAAGCCACCTCCTTCCCGGCTCCTATCCCTTTTATTTATTTTATACACGTTTGTTTTGGTCGGGCGGGCGGGTCCAGCGTGGGGCTGTGGGGCGGCCCCAGCGGCGGTAACCCCTCCCCGAGGAGGCGAGGCCTGGCCACAACCCGCCCCATCCCGGCTCCAACTCGGCGGGCGGGGCGGGGGGGGCGGGGTGGGGGGGCGGGGCGGGGCGGGGCGAGGCGAGGCGGGGCGGGGCGGGGCGGGAAGGGGGAAGGGGGAAGAGGGTGGGAGACAGCAAGCTGGGAGACGGAGGCGGCGGGTGCGCCGCAAGGAGGCGGGGAAACCCGCCCGGCCCGAGCCAGGCCGTTCCCCCGCGGGCTGCAGGTGGAGTCCGCAGCCGCCGCCGCCGCCGCCGCCGCCGCCTCCCCCGGGCCCGAGGGCGCGGGCGTGGAGCGCCGGTGCGTGCGGACCCGGCGCCAGGGCCCACGGCTCGCCCGCCGTTCCGGGGCTGCGCCTCCGCGCCTCGTCCATGGCTGAGGGCCGGCGGCGGGAGGACGAGGAGGAAGAGCTGCGCGAGCGCCGCGAGTTCGGGGGCCAGCGCCGCGCCCGGGGCCGTGCGCTGTCGGGCCACTCGGCCGCAGGTGAGGGGCGCGGGGAGCGCGAGGGGGCCCGGGGGAGGGGGGGACCGAGGGCTGGGAGCCCCGGGGCCGCGCAGATCCTGCCCCGGACGGCGGCGGCTCCCTCCCCCGCCCGGCTGGGACCGGCGTCTTTCACTCTGCGCGGGGAGACGCAGGGAGGGTGGCTTTTCCATCCTCATCCTCACTTTCGGGCCGAGGCCCCAGGAAATTCAAACTGGTCTCTACCTGTCGTGGAGCCGAAACGACGGATGTTTCGTACGCACTAAATCCAGGGGCTGCTGGCTTGAACTTGGGGCCCGGGTGATTACTTATCTCCAGATGAGTCAGAGGCCGGTGCACAGTTCTCTGGGTCTGGCAGCTCCGGCGACGACCCCTCCCGATGGGTTTGCCTGCGCGGCCGCTACCAGGTCAAGCCACGTGCTGATCAAGTCTGGTTTCGTGTAGCCTGAACTTCGGACCTTTGATTCTGCCCAACCCCCCACCGCCCGAGCTCACCAGTTATCTATAGCACTTGCTTTAGAGTTATTTTGTGAGCCCCCCCAGTCCAGGATATAGCGTGCCAAAAGGCAGTTCATTTGGACCGAGACTCATTTCTGGATCTGTAGTTACTTTCATGGTCTTGTGTTTTTGGGTACACAAAGGCGGCTCGGATCAATAGTTTGGAACTTAAGTGGAAGAGTAAGTGTAGATCCACACCCCTTCTCTGTTCCTGGGGCAACTTTTCAGTCAAACATAATGGAGAGTAAATTCTTTGGCCTTTGGTTCCAACTGGATTAGCCACGTATCTGCAAACTGGAGGCAAGAACAAACTTAGGGAGATGACAACAGGAGGGAGATAGAGAAGCGAGAAAGATTTAGATGAGAACGAGTCATTAAAGCCTCTTGAGAAAATGGACCATCGTAAACATTCCATCAAGTCATGGAGAAGCTTTTCTATGTGGCCTCCTTAACCTGAGGGAAAGTTGGAGAATTAAGATAACAGGTCTGTGGGGAACCAGTGAGGGATAGAAAATGGGATGAAAGGAAAGAATTTAGTGGAACATAAAGAAATAGTCAATTTGATGCCCTTGATAGGATCTTGGAACCTTAAAAATAATTCTTGATGCCCATTACTAGGGCTTTGCATCACAGTAAGGCATTTGACTTTCTGCATGAACACCAGTCGTTTTGAAAGTAATTGATAGTTTTGTTCAGTATAAGCCAGACTAAAGAAATCATGGGCAGTTGCAGGATATGAATTAATATTTCTTGCAAGAATACAATGAAAAAACTTTACAAAGATGTACCTCCATTGATTTGCTGATTTAAACAGTGTAGGGTGCCTTGGATTCCTATTACCTTCAGCAAACAGCTTCACTTTCTCTTACAATGGACTGTAGTGTGGAGAGTATTGGAGGTCAGATTAGATATGATCCAGATACATGTTCATCATTTAGTTGCAGTATGTATGTTTATTCCAAGGCTGGCAGAAGCTTTTCTAGATTCTATGATAATACTTTGCTGGTTGTGTACGTTTTCCCTCAGAAATTGGTGTTTGCAGCCTAACCATGTAATATGCCCTGTTTCCATTAAGGGGTGAAGGACAGAAATATTATGAAGTGGGCAGAGGGTTAAACTTGCAACAATTGGTCTTCTTTCTTTTGGGATACATTGTTTAATAGTCCACATTTCTTTACAAGCTGTGCTCCTCTTTCCACTCATTAGTCCACGTGTTTTTCAGACACCGTCGCATTCCTTACCAAGCTTGGGCGTTTGTTCATTCTGTTTGTGCTAGATGTTGTTCTCCGTCCAAGTGAGAGTGTGAGCTGACCCAGAAGCTTAGTGTTTCTTCTGCTTATCGTCTGTCTTTCTAATCTTTACCTCTCCGGTTCTTGTTGTTTCCTTCTTCCCCCTCCGTTTTACAATCTAGATTTTCTTTTTCTTTGATCTCACATAACTTGACACCATACATTTGGGGTTTATGGACTGAGGGAGTCTGTGAACTCCTTCTCTTCCTGCTAAATGTAGGTGTGGTTGTGAAGGTGTGTTTATTTATTTTTACAATATACATTCAGAAGGGTGTATAAAGCCTGTAAATTATCAAGCGAAACTCTTGTAACCTGTGTCCAAATCAAGAAATAGAATATTGTCGGGGCGCCTGGGTGGCTCAGTCGTTGAGCGTCTGCCTCCGGCTCGGGTCATTTTCCCGGGGTCCTGGGATCGAGCCCCTCATTGGGCTCCCTGCTCCATGGGAAGCCTGCTTCTCCCTCTCCCACTCCCCCTGCTTGTGTTCCCTCTCTCACTGTCTCTCTGTCAAATAAATAAATAAAATCTTAAAAAAAAAAAAAAAAGAATATTGTCAGTTCCCTAGAAGCAGACTCTGGTCCCTCCTAGTCATGGCCTCTTCTTTCCCCTTGAGGGAACTACTATTTTGTGTGTGTGTGTGTGTGAGTATTAATTTCCTTGCTTTTCTGTACAGTCTTCCCTGTATGCGTATGCATCCCTATACAGTATTATTTAGTTTACCTATTTTAAAACTTCATGGAAGTGGAAACCATCCCGTCTGTATTCTTTAGTGTTATGCTTTTTTCACTCAATATTGCTTGTAAGATTTATCCATACTGTTATATGCAGCTATAGTTTGTTTTCATTGCATAAATATATCACCCTTTTTGGCTATCATTTTTTTAATGATTTGTTGGAGTTCTTACACAGGAATCTGAACTTTTGTTGGTTGCATGTGCTGCAAATATCTTCTTCCACTTGGGCTTATTTTTTAAAATTTTCTTTATGGTTTCTTTTGAAGTGGAAATACTTAATTTCAATGTAGGTGTATTTATGAATCTTTCTTTGGAGTTAGTGACTCTCTTCCCCTTGCTGTGCCCCTTGGTTAAGAATGCTTTCCCTATACCAAGGTCATGAAGATATTCTCCTCATCTCCTGTATTTCCTAAAAGTTTTGTAGCTTTCTTTGGGGAGAGATACCGTAACTTTCATCAGACCCTCAAATGGGTCTGAGACCCTCTTGCTCACCTTCAACATTTTTATATTGTTTCCCCAAAGGGCAGGGAATACACAATTCTGGGACCTCCCCCTAATCACCAGGAAGAGTGGTAGGCATTAACAGGGTTTAATTAATATTAAATAAATTTATTCTTTCCATATATTGATGACTTTATGGTAAACTCTGGAAGGACTGCTGTAACTTCTTCCATGTGTTCTGAGTAAAATAAGTAATATTGTCAGTATGAGGGCACAGAATAAAATTCATGTTCACCATGAATCAGATGTTTCTTATCCCCTGTGAGGTCAGTATTATTTTCTCCATTTTATAATTGTAAAGATTCAGGCTCAGAAATATTTAAGCAACTTGCGGAGGATCCATCAGCTAGTAAATGCTAGAATGGGGACTTGAATCCATGTCTTTTTGACCTGAAAGTCCATGTTTTTCCAAGCTGTCCCACTGGCTGCTAATAAAAGTCAGTTGCTATTAATGCTCCACACGTTTATACCTGTATGTTGCTTGTTATATTTTACAAATACTTTACATTTATTTGGTGCTTTTCTGCTGAGGAAGGGCTTTCATAGCCTCATTTAACTTGATTCTTTCAAATAACCTGAGAGGGAAGAGGGTATGTTTTGTTATTCCCATTTTTTTTTTTTAAGATTTTATTTATTTGGGCGCCTGGGTGGCTCAGCCGGTTAAGCGCCTTCGGCTCAGGTCATGATCCCAGGGTCCTGGGATCGAGTCCCGCATCGGGCTCCCTGCTCTGCGGGGAGCCTGCTTCTCCCTCTCTCACTCCCCCTGCTTGTGTTCCCTCTCTCGCTGTGTCTCTCTCTGTCAAATAAATAAATAAAATCTTAAAAAAAAAAAAAAGATTTTATTTATTTGACAGAGAGAGACACAGTGAGAGAGGGAACAAGCAGGGAGAGGGGGAGAGGGAGAAGCAGGCTACCTGCTGAGCCGGGAGCCCAATGTGGGGCTCGATCCCAGGACCCTGGGACCATGACCTGAGCTGAAGGCAGATGCTTAACGACTGAGCCACCCAGGTGCCCCAGTTATTCCCGTTTTATTTTATTTATTTATTTTTTAAGGTTTTTTATTTATTTGACAGACAGAGCATAAGCAGAGGGAGAGGGAGGGAGAAGCAGGTTCCCTGCTGAGCAAGGAGCCTGATTTGGGACTCCATCCCAGGACCCTGGGATCATGACTCGGGCCGAAGGCAGCTGCTTAACCGACTGAGCCACCCAGGCGTCCCCAGTTATTCCCATTTTAAAGACATACATTGAGGGACACCTGGGTGGCTCAGTTGGGTAAGCGTCTGCCTTCGTCTCAGGTCATGATCTCAGGGTCCTGGGATCAAGCCCCGCGTTGGGCTCCCTGCTCAGTGGAGAGCCTGCTTCTCCCTCTCCTCCCTCCCACCCCATGCTCTCGCTCACTCTATCTCAAATAAATAAATAAAATCTTTTAAAAAAATTAAGACAAGTAAATTGAAACTCAGAAATGTTAGAAGACTTAGTCTAAAATAATACAGGTAATAGGTACAGCTGCACCTCAGTTACCTCTGTAGTGTGTTTCATCAACTATAGTTTTTTTGTGTTGATACATGGGACATACCAGGTCGTATGGCCCAGTTTGTAGTTGTCTAAAAAGTTGAAACAACTTACTGAATTGCTGTATGAGTTGTGGTAATTTGGGGGTGGACTCTTTTGGGTTTTCCACATAAAGTATCATGTCGTCTGCAAAAAGAGACTTGTGTACTTCTTAATCCCCATCCCCTTGTTCACTATTTTTTTGTTGTTGTTCTCTATATCTAAGAGTCTCTTTTTTGTCTCTCTTCTTTGTTCACTTGTTTTTAAATTCCACACATGAGTGAAATCATATGGCATTTGTCTTTCTCTGACTGACTGATTTCACTTAGCATTATAATCTCTAGCTCCATCCATATCATTGCAAATGGCAAGATTTCATTCTTTTTGATGACTGAATAATATTCCATTGTATGTATATATCACATCTTCATT